CCTTCCCCTTCCCCTTCCCCTTCCCCTTCCCCTTCCCCTTCCTCTTCTTCTTCTTCTTCTTCTTCTTCTTCTTCTTCCCCCCCTGCTCACCCCCCTCAAAGAAAACTGTAGTTGCATCTTCATGCCGGTTAGCCAACCAATCTCTTTGGTTTTGACTGGGGAGGGGGAGATAACTAGATAAAATTGATTTGGAGAACTTTGAGCATTCTCCACTGTTTGTAAGACGCTGCCGGAGCCCAGATCAACCCCAAAAAATATCAAAGCAGCTGAGAAAGTCAGTGGAAGGAATGACAGATTTTGCTTTATTACAGAGTTGGAGCTTTCAGTTGGAAGGAAGTTAAGAGAACTGGAAGGGACCTTGGAGGTCTTCTAGTCCAACCCCCAGGAAGCCTTATGCATTTCAGACAAAGGGTTGTCCAATCTCTTCTTTAAAAACTCCCAGTGTTGGAGCACTCACAACTTCTGGAGGCAACTTCTGTTCCACTGGTTCATTGTTCTCACTGTCAGGAAGTTTCTCCCTTAGTTCCAGGGACAACCTAGTTGCTTCTCTCCTTGATTGGGTTCCATCCATTGCTAGTCCTCAACTTACGACCACAATTGAGCCCAAAGTTTCCGTTGCTAAGTGAGACATTTGTTTACGTGAGCCACTGCAGTCTTCTGAGAATGGCTTATTTCCCCAAGGTGGCTGTAAGATTGTGGAAGAGCATTTAGGTCTCAAAGTTTCATTCGTTAGGGTGGGATGGATGGATGGATGGATAGAATGGGATGGATGGATGGATGGGATGGGATGGATGAATGGAATTGATGCATGGATGGGATGGGATTTGATGGATGGATGGAATGGGATGTATAAATGGATGGATGGGATGGAATTTGATGAATGGATGAATGGATGAATGGAATGGGATATGATGGATGGATGGATAGATGGATAGAATGGGATTGAATGGATGGATGGAATGGAATGGGATGGACGAATAGAATTGATGCATGGATGGGATCGATGGAATGGGCTCTGATAGATGGATGGGATGGGATGGGATGGATGAATGGAATTGATGCATGGATGGGATCGATGGAATGGGTTTGGATGGATAAATGGATGGATGGGATGGGATTTGATGAATGGATACATAGATGGATGGTTGGAATGGGATTGGATGGATGAATGGAATGGGATGGATGGATGGGATGGGATGGGATGGGATGCATGCATGGAATGGATGGATGCATGGATTGACTGGCTGATGATGGGCCATCAAATCAGTGCCAACCCTAGGGAACACCTGCTAGACCTCTTCCAAAGAGGATCTCTCCCCAACGTGCTCCTTCAAGTCCTCCCATGGTGCATTGGAACGGAGTCCACCCTGCTGACCTCTGGTCATCCCTATCGTCTCTTTTCCCTCTATATTTCTCAGCACAGGAATCTTCTCAAAGGAGCCGGTTCTTTGCACCATGGGTCAAAATATGGCAATATTTGGACCTCAAGTGTGAACGTTGAATTGATTTATTATGAGGTCCATTCATTAGTTTTCTTGGCTACTCCTTCAAGGCAAGATACGCCTTGAGAAGTTTATCTCTTTCCGGTGTCTTATGCTGAATTGCCTCATTTTGGTTCTCTTTCAGAATCCCATGCCAGCCATCCTACCCCACCTACAACCCAACGGCCTTTGGACTCTGTTCCTCCTCTGGCACCCCAAATCACGACTTTACCTCCCGAGCTAACCAGGACATCCTCCTCTCCCTGGCATTCAGAAGATTACATTTCCCACCAGAGCCAGCCAGTCACCCGAAGGATAACCAAGCCTGCTATCCTCTCCACTCTTCCCTGGACGACTCAAGGCATCCGCCAGACCACTGCTAGACCCCTCCTGACAGCCCCCATGGTCCCTGCCACCACTCAGATGGCTTACGTTGAATCGGGCAGCGCGGAAGGCAGCGGAGATCCAGAATTTGGCACCAGCGGAGATCAGGAAGGCAGCGGGACCAGCTCTGCAGGTATGTTGCACACCTTAGCTCCATGTGTCGGTGCCTGGCCTTCCTTAAGGGACACCGGGGTCGCTCCATTAGTGCTGCCGAACAACTCAAAATTGGGCTGTTGGTCTGAGCTCCGAGCTTGGCAATTTGGCGGCAAACTTTTCATCACCATTCGAGGAGAGGTCGTTCATGTGCTTTGAATTGGGCTCGTCTGTCAAAGCACTGGACTAACATTTCATCACCATTCGAGGAGACATTATCCGTGTGCTTTGAATTGGGATCGTCTGTCAGAGCACTTCCCTACCATTTCATCACCATTCGAGGAGACATCATCCGTGCACTTTGAATTGGGCTCATCTGTCTGAACCATGGCCTTTCAATGCCTTTTTATGTGATGCAAATTAGTGGAGAAGTAGCCAAACAAACAACAACCACGCTAATTTGCATCACATAAAAAGGAGACTGAAGCAAACCCCAAGTTCGAATTTCTGCCCCCCTCCGACCCACACAAAAAGCCCCCAAAGGGGGAGACCCTCTGCAGCAAAACAGACATTCATTGCATGTGTCCGGCCCAGAGGCCATAGTTTGAGGCAACCTGGTTTAGTGCAATATAAAAAACACAAATAATTTTTTGGCGGACCACCAAAATTTTCTCACGGACCACCAGTTGGAGACCAGTCCATAGGGCTACTGTAGAAAAGGGGTAGTTTTTTGTCTCCCCCCCCCCAATCATCAATTGGGGTGTCCTTTGCACAGGTGGTTTTATCCTCCCTTACGATAGTCGCTGAAAAACGGCAGGGAGATTGAGCGGTGGTTTTAATGCGGGGATTTTAAAAAGATCCAAGAGTTCAGACCTGCCTGGCTTGGGATGGTAACCTTCTCTCTGTGGCCGAACAGGGGAGGAAGAAATTGAAGACCCAAAGGTGCCCAGCCCCCACCTGATTGAGAGAGCTACCTGTTACAACAGCCCTCTGGGATGCTGCTCGGATGGCAAGACCCCGGCCGCTGACGCCGAAGGAAGTAATTGCCCAGGTAAACCACTTCCTTTCTTTTGCGGATGCTCGGCTTCACCTGGGAACAAAACTCTAGGAAAAGTAGCCTCAAGAAGTAAGCCAAGCCGTGTCCCTTTGTGGGCCGTCAGCTTAGGGGAAGGTGATGATGAAAATTCAGGGTCCGTCCTGCCCAGCTGCAATTCTCAGAGCCTCTTTGACAAAACTCAAATCACCCCCCCAGGGCATTTCAAATGAGCCGAGTTGATTGGGCCGTGATTTCTTTCAGATCAAGGCGTTACCGGTTTCTTTGTTCATTCTTTATTCCTTTACTAGCCGATAACCGACGTTGCCAGGGGGAAACGTCTGGAGCAAACGTAATTTCTAATGCTGGATTTTCCCCCCTTACCAGAGGGAGCCCCCTCGCGGAGTCCTGTGAAGCCGTTACCGTAGCAACTCCGCTGCGCTGTACAGTAGAAGCCATTTTACGGCAGTACAGTAGAAGCCATTTTAAGGCACAACAGGCTGTATCTTAACAGAACACACACCCCGAGGGGGTTTTACCCCCACAGTATTTGTTTCCAGAGAATAAGTCATCTGCGTAGCAAGTTTAGTTGAAAGTGCTCGAGGCGTTCCAGAGTTATGCTGGAACTTACACACACACACACAAACACACACACACACACACATTTTTATAGATAGATAGAAAGGATAGGATGATTGATAGATAGATAGATAGATAGATAGATAGATAGATAGATAGATAGATAGATAGATAGATAGATAGATAGATAGATAGATAGATAGATAGATAATTAGATAAGAGAAATGATATATAGATGGATACAGAGGGATGGAGGGAGGGAGGGAGAGAGGGAGGGAGGGAGATTGATTCTTTATTGTCCAAGTATGATTAAACACACAAGGAATTTGCATAAGCTCTCAGTGTACAAAAAAATACATTCATCAAGAATCATATAGGATACTATACTATCGTATAGGATACTTAATAAGCAATCAAAATCATACTAGGAAACTAAATAAAACAATATAAATCGTAAAGATACAAGCAACAAGGTTATAGTCATAAGTAGAAAAGGAGATAGATACTCGGAAGGAAGAGAAGAAGAATAGTAATACAGTCTTCGTAAATTATTTGACAGTATTGTGGGAATTAGTTGTTTAGCAGAGTGATGGCATTCGGGGGAGAAAAACTGTCCTTGTGTCTAGTTGTCTTGGTGTGCAGTGCCCTATAGCGTCGTTTTGAGGGTAGGAGTAGAAACAATTTACATCCAGGATGCGAGGGGTCTGTAGATATTTTCACAGCCCTCTTTTTGACTCGTGGGGTATACAGGTGCTCAATGGAAGGCAGGTTGGCAGCCATTGTTGTTATTTTTTTTTGCAGTTCTGATAATTATCTGTTCTACAGGCCTCACCTTTGCTCCAGGTGCTTTAAGAGAGAGATCAGAGCATTTCCTCCCTACTGTGATAGTCCAGCAAGGTAGCCCAACTCAAGTATCCAGAGTTGCCCCAGAAAAGCTAAGAATTGAGGGTGTATCTGAATTTAGGGTGCAAACATAACAGCTCCTCTTTCTTAATTCTGCTCCAGCTGCTTTCTCCCTTGAGTCTCCGTCTTTAGCCTCCCGGTCTCATTCTGGGGGATAAAAATTCAGATTGATCAGCTAAGGATCCTGCAACCTTCCCTGGCCCACTAAGCTCTCCGCTGATCCATAAAATGTGGGGCGCGAAAAGATTTCCTTCCCTTTCAGAGGAAGATCCATCTGTATTCACACAGCAGGAGGAAGGTTGCCAACTTCCTGTCTTACAGCAGAGGCAAAAGGGCACCTTTGTGAGATGAGTGGCAGAGCAAGGGGAAGGGAAGGAAGGAGTTGGAGGGGCTGAGTAATGGAAGGGAGGAAAGATGAAGGAAGGAAGGAGATGAAGGAGGAGGGAATGATGAAGGGAAGGAAAAAAGGAAGGGAGGAGATGGAGGGACTTTCTCTTTTCCTCCTTCCCTTTCTCTTTTCCCCCTTTCCTTTCCCTTATTCCTCCTTCCCTTTTTCTTTTTCTCCTTCCCTTTCTCTTTTCTTCCCTTTGTCTTAGTCCTCTTTCCCTTTCTCTTTTCCTCCTTCCCTTTCTCTTTTCCCCCTTTCCTTTCCTTTCTCTTATTCCTCCTTCCCTTTTTCTTTTTCTCCTTCCCTTTCTCTTTTCTTCCCTTTGTCTTATTCCTCTTCCTCTTTCCCTTTCTCTTTTCTTTTCTTCCTTTCTCTTATTTCTCCTTCCCTTTCTCTTTTCTTTTCTTCCCTTTCTCTTATTCCTCCTTCCTTTTCATTTTTCTTCCCTTTCTCTTATTCCCTTTCTCTTATTCTGCCTTCCCTTTCACTTTTCCTCCTTCCCTTTCTCTTTTCTTTTCTTCCCTTTCTCTTATTCCTCCTTCCCTTTCACTTTTCCCCTTCCCTTTTTCTTTTCCTCCTTCCCTTTCTCTTTTCTTCCTTTTCTCTTATTTCTCCTTCCCTTTCTCTTTTCCTCCTTCCCTTTCTCTTTCCTTCCCTTTCCCTTATTCCCTTTCTCTTATTCTTCCTCCTTCCCTTCTTCCTCTCTCTTTCATTCCAATGTCTGCATGCTAGTAATCCCCGCTTCCTCTTCCCCCACCCCCACCAGTAGTTTTATGTGTTTCTCTCTCTCTCTCTCTCTTGGCCCCCAGCTAACCTTCTTTCTCTCGTTACCCAGCCACTCCAGGAAGGCCCCCACCCAGGCTGCAACTTGGAGGAACTTGTATGGTAAACTCTGGCCAGTTCTCACCACCTGGGCTTTCTGTTACCCGGGTCTGGCCCCCCACTTCAAAGTACTAACCCTCCCCATAAGCCACCTTCTGATCCATTCAGACTAACCCTCAACCCCGCCAGCGCCGCTCATCTGCTGCCATCTTGCCGCTTCTCCCTCTCTGCCAAGGGACTGAACACTCTTTTTAACGGTTCGGGTGTCAAACACTTGATCTCTCAAACCGTGATTCCTTGGGTCGCTTCGCCTGCTCCCGTTTAACCCGACTGTTTCCTTCCCGGATTTGTCTCTTCCCTGCAGCCACCAAAGTCTTCCAGGGGGTCCTGATTTTGGAAGAGGTGGAAGGCCAAGAACTGTTTTACACCCCGGAAATGGCCGATCCAAAATCCGAGCTGTTTGGGGAGACGGCCCGGAGCATTGAAAGTGTGGTAAGCGAGCACAGAAAGAAAGAAAATAACCCGAGGCCGTGTGGGCTTTTTCCCACTAGCACGTGGGGGAAGTTGTCCCCTGTCGGTACGCCTGATTAAAAACCCAGCTCTTTTGCAGGAGAACAGAAGAGAACGCAGCATAAAGTATAAGTATAATATTTATTGTCATTGTACTTACATGCAACGGAATTGGGTAATAAAGTAGACTAGCAATAGCACTTAGACTTATATACCGCTTCGCAGTGCTTTTACAGCCTTCTCTAAGCGGTTTAGAGAGTCAGCCTCTTGCCCCCAACAATCTGGCTCCTCATTTTACCCACCTCGGAAGGATGGGAGGCTGAGCCAACCTTGAGCTACTCAGGATTGAACTCCTGGCAGTGGGCAGAGGTAGCATGCAATACTCCATTCTAACCACTGGGAGGGAGGGAGGGAAGGAAGGAAGGAAGGAAGGAAGGAAGGAAGGAAGGAAGGAAGGAAGGAAGGAAGGAATAGCACTTATATACCGCTTTACAGGGCTTTTACAGCCCTCTCTAAGCGGTTTACAGAGTCAGCCTCTTTCCTCCAACAATCTGGGTCCTCATTTTACCCAGCTCGGAAGGACGGAAGGCTGAATCAACCTGGAGCCTTGGTGAGATTCAATCTGCCAAATTGCAGGCAGCCGGCAGGCAGCAGAAGGAGCCTGCACTACTGCACTCTAACTTCTGTGCCACCTCGGCTATATAGAATAGAATAGAATAGAATAGAATAGAATAGGGAAAAATGGAATAGAGAAAATGGAATAGAATAAAATAGAATAGAATAGGGAATATAGAATAGGGAATATAGAATAGGGAATATAGAATAGGGAATATAGAATTGGGAATATAGAATAGAATAAAATGGAATGGAAATAGAATAGAATAGGGAATATAGAATAGGGAATATAGAATAGGGAATATAGAATAGGAAATATAGAATTGGGAATATAGAATAGAATAAAATGGAATGGAAATAGAATAGAATAGGGAATATAGAATAGGGAATATAGAATAGAATAGGAAATAAGGAATAGGGAATATAGAATAGAATAGAATAGAATAGAATAGAATAGAATAGGGAATAAGGAATAGGGAATATAGAATAGAATAGGGAATAAGGAATAGGGAATATAGAATAGA